TTATTTTTCTATGACCGCTGCAATTGAATTTATGGAATACACTGGGAAAAAGAAATGGCAACAAGCTAGAGAAGGAAGTGTATTTGAAATTAAAAGATGAGCAAGAAATTCTTCAGATTATATTGGATTCTTTGATGTACTTCCATGTATATGCTGATTTGGTGATGATCTCTAAATCTAAAGAACTCAACAAGTCTTCCTTAGATATGAATACACATTACCTGGAATTACGATGCTTTTTAACAGAAGCAGAGAAACATCCAGAAATAGTGTTAGAACGAGAGACTCAGGTTTTTATTTCAGAAAGACGACTTTATGGGAAGGAGAAAGCAACTAATCATCGCTTGAATAAGCCTGCTGTATATCAAGCTGTATTTGATACTGCAGCAAAGTATGATACTTTTTTGAAACCTTTGATTGTATCTGGTTGCAACTCCATGCATGACAAGTTAAGTACATATGCAGCGAATCAACTTCCAGGAGGTATTTATTGGGAACCAGAAGACCCAGCTATTAGCAAGATTCTCTCAGAACTCAGTCCCAGCTATGACCTTTGTGAATCTTTGCTCGGGTTAAATGACTATCTCACAACCTCTCTTCCTAATCTTCACCAAATGTCCAGATCAAATCTTGTAGAAGTAAAGAAAAACAAGACTATTCACTGGCTAGAAGATTTGGAAACAGAGCATCAGGACAAAATAATAAATTTAGCTGTCATGTCTAAACAACAAGTTCAGGATGAGTTTGAGCTAGAGAAGAAAGCAAGAGATGAAGAAAGAAAACAGAAAATGAAATGTAGTCATCAAAAGCAAGTGGTTTCTGAAAAGCGAGCAATCGAAGAAAAACGTAAACTCTCTGAATTACACTTTATTGCTACAACTGCAGAACTTGAGGAGGTACTACAAGAAGTTGATGAGAAAGATATCTCTCAAAGTAAAAAAGACTTAGAGAAACTTCAAATTACTAAGACTCAAATTAACATTAGAAAAAAGGTTCTACAACAAAAAATTAAAATCTGCTTTACTCAATCGAAAAGAAAGCGTCCCATCACTGATATTATAACTGAGTTTCAAGATCATATAATTGCTTTTCCTTTACCTGATTTTGTCTACAACCCTTCATTATTTGTAGGAAAAGTTATTCACCATAAATTCCAATTAAGCGGTGAAGAAACAAAGTGGTATCAAGGAACAGTTCTAAGCTATGATAAGACTTCTAAAATGCATGAAATTATTTATGATGAGGAGGAAGAACCTTGTTTCTTTGACATTATTTTAGATTTTATGAATGGTGACTTAAAGGTTGTTGGTTAATCTGATGCATGTACTTAGTGATAGTTGTCTCATTTTATATTGTTATATTTGAAAAGATTCAATACTTTTTGAACTTAAAACTCAAAGTGAAACGTTAAGTATGTATAATCTTCACAAATTAATAATAAAATCAGAATTTTTTTTGTATTTAGTTTCTCAGTAATGTCCATCAAAATGATGCGTGTGTTATCAAATTCCCTTTGGGCATCAAGAATCACTTTCATTTCAATGAATTCCTTTCTAAGCTTTATTATCTCAGCTGCGTACTTCAGTTCTAATTTTTCAATTCTAACTTCTAGTTTTTCTATGTCAAATAAACATCATTATAAGATTCTAACAGTTTACAATTAATTTACCTGAAGAATTACTTGCTGCCATGTTAATAAATGTCTAAAAACTAGTATCCTGTAATAATTAACTCTGTGAAGAGAAGGGATAGAGAAAAAGGAGAGATAAAAAAGATCAATGGATATAATTATTCTTGCTATAGTGAGTGTGAGTGTGTAACTATACTGAGGAAATAGTAAGACGCAAACTGATGGACCAAATTACCAATTATCAATCAGGAGGTTGGGTCCTTTGAGTTCATACCCATTCATATTA